CGAGCGCGACGCTCCGCCGTCCAGCAGCCCGCAGGGGGGCTAGCAGGGACGGGGGCACGCGTCCTCCCCCGGTGCGTCGACACGGGCGCTGCAACGCAGGCGCCGTCACAACCACGCGCCTCTCCGAGGGGTGACAAGCCCCAGCCCCCGGTGGGACCGTGTCGCGGTCGTAATGCCAGCGCGAGCAGGTACGACGGTGTGCCGTAGCGGCGCGGCACCGGGCCGGGGCCGCCCCGCACCTCCAGAGATCACTGGTAACGCGGCGCGAGCGGCGACGCAAATAAAACAAAACAAACCCCGGCCGCGCACGACGCGTCGACCCCGCCGACATGACCCCGCCCCCGCTGTACATAGGCGGCCCATAGGGCGCGCGTTGGCCACACCGGCCGCGCACAACTTCCACTACTAGGGCTACGACCTGAATCGAGCAAGCGGCAGTGACCGTCAAGCGAACCTGTCTGGAAAGTAGAGCCGACAGCCCTACTAAAGTGGGACATTTCATTAAAGATGCGCTAAATCATGCTATAAAACCGCCTATCCAGGAGCCAGCAGCAGCCCCAATGCATTACATGAATTTTGTAAGGGGACCGAACCCTGGCACAGGACAGCCTCCGTGTCCATTCGCTCAAAACGGCACGCCACACGCGACGCGTTCAATCGGCAGATTTCGACAGGAGCCGCGGGAGCCCTGGACACCCTCCTGACGTCCCCGAGATCTTTGGAAGTGGCCGGCGCCGCTCGGCGGCAGCAATACCCCAGACAGCCTACTCTAACCGGCGCGCCGCGTGTCACGAGCTACAATAAATACTCGCGTCGCCTAGGGGACCGACGCACGAGCTATTGACGGCGAACAACGATAGATGGCAGTGACGGTAGCTGAGCGTAAATGGCGCTGACCACGCCTGGGCGGGCATTATCGTCGCGTGCGTGCCCTCGCAGGGGGGGGGGGCGAGGACGTTCGGCGCGTCCTCCTCTCTCCCCGGTCCCGCTCAGTGCCGCGAGCGGCCACCAGAGTCGGGCGGGGTGAGGAAGGAGGGCCGTGGAGCGGGTGGCTGCGCCGGTGACTGGCAGTGGGCCTCCTCCTGCTCCGCCGACCGCTTCTGGGCCTCCTCCTGCGGCACATGGGCGGGCCGTACTGTCACCCGTCACCCACGGCCGGCTTGGCGCTGACCCTAGACAGTATGGTCATCACTGATGGGCGTCCGTGCCACCCACCTACAAGACAGCAGGCAACCCACGCGGAAGCGGAGTCCCTGCGGGAATTACCCAAACACCAATAGTCAGAACAACGTCAGTGTTGCGGGAGGCCCGTATGTGATCCCACCAAGGCCACGGGACGGCAGCAGCTGCGGCACGACAAACCGCCTCGCTCACCAGAATCTGCAGATTGACGGCGTGGATCTGGATGTTGTGCCGGTCGCCCTCCTGCACGCGGTCGAACGGCGGCACGTGGGGCAGCACGTGTGGCCGAAGTGTCACGAAGAACGGACCGAGCCAGGTGACGCAGGGCGACAGCTCCAGCCATGTGTAGCCTGCCAAGGTGCGGGGCCGTCAGCACGCACAATTCGTGCCGGACGCGTCGGATCGCCGCAGAAAGCGGTGGTAAAAGGGCGACTCTTGCTGTGTTTTCTGTGCCTAGAAAGGTGCTCACCGATACTTTGCTGCCAGATTCTGCACTCTTCTTCATATGAACTCCTAGGAAAGCTGATTTGAGAACAGCTTAATGGTCTCCAATAAACTCTGTCGGCGCTAGACACTTTTTTGTTGACCTTCTTACTGTTTGCACCATATATACTTTACTCTCCCAATCTAGCACCCCCAAAAAACCAACGATGACAGCATGCTACCGCTACACCGGCGCGGCAGACCCAAATGCACCGAAAATGATACACAAGCAACCTTTTCTATTTGTTGCCTATGCCCTTACAACTAAGCATCCCCAAAAATGCGACATACTCTCACGGCCGGTGCACAACCTAAAAATCGGCTCATTGGTCCTGACAATCCACAGCCATAGCTACAGCCGCAGTCAGCCCCAGCCGCCAGCTGCAGCTCCAGCTCCAGCTCCAGCCCCAGCCACATCCAAAACCACAGCCACAGCTACAGCCACAGCCAGCTCCAGCCACAGCCGCGGCCGCAGCCGGAACTGCAGCTGCGGCCGCGCCACGCCAGCCCGGTGGGAGTCACCAGGTCATGTTCGCCAGCATAGCCGCAGTAGCGGTGCGACGTCGGCCATCGTCTTGGCCGCCTCATCCCTCCCCCACACGCACCTGATATCCGCACGGTCAGCTCCCTGTTCCTGGTGAAGTGGAAGAAGGCCGACGCAGCCAGTACGCCGTAGTTGAAGGCCAGCGAGCCCACGTCCATGACGGCCAGGTCCAGCAGCTGGCACACCTGCACGAACTGCAGGCTCGAGAACTGTGCGCACGTGAACTCCTCAGCCGTCAACAGCCTCGCCTGAAAAACGGGGGGGGGGGGGGTGTGTGATGGATGCCAGCACCGAGCCGTGACGTCAGACGCTACCACGGCGGCAGCGGGCGGCTCAAGGCGGCTGTCGGGGGTACAGGCCACCGTGTCGCCCCCGCAAAAGGTAGCATGGAGACTGAAATGCCTTCGCCAATGTCCCGCGGGAGTCCAAATCGGAGGGCAATGTAAATTTTCCATGAATGGTTTAACACAGGCATGAAAAATGCCTAAAATGGAGACCACAAACCGTCGGTGATGCTACTCAATTCGCAGGTAATCTCAGATATGTAGTGACCTCTCAAAACTCAAACGTGGACAACGAGCTACGATGCTTTGGCTTTAGTTCGGCCCCACCGCTTTTCGACAGAGCTGATTTGCAAAACAATTGTGTGCCTTCTTCGCTAGACAGCTGTCAGCTGTTCCTCCCGAAAGCTTTTTTCTCTTGCCTTTTTTCGACTGTTACTGCTTTAATCGTCTGGAAGGACCCTAGACAACCTCATGGAACACAGCGGACGAACATTGCCACCTTAGATACTAGGTCATTTAATTTTCGTTAGTGGATCTAGTTCACTTAAAGAAGAACAGGGAACAAGCACATATGAGTGTTACCCGTCACGAAAAAGATGCACCAAAACGAGCAACCACACTGCGACATGACCGTGGCCTGAAGGGTCCGAAACTTACCAAATCTGTTCTCTTCCATATTTGTAAGCTGTAAATATGTTCCCAGCCAATGCTGTGGAGTAATTGGTGATAAAGACCAATTCAAAATCTGTAGGAAACAGGAGCACATGTGTTACCTCATGCAGTGGTAACAGTGGCGGTGAAAGTGCATCACCCAGAAACAACATTGGGCCAAAAATCCACAAGCACAGAAACATTTGCACTAAAAGCAGCCTGGTGGCAAGTGTTGACATTGACATTGACAGGACAAGACATTGCGTTGGCGGACCTAACAACAACATGCACTTAACATGCATGATTCAGACTTACCTCTGCTCCTTGCAGATCAAAGGCAGGGAAAATTAATTAGCTTGCATAATACCCACATCACTTCATTAAGTCACACTGCACACTCGACCCACTCAGAATAACAGCAACCAGTGTGATCATAACATCATATTAGTCCCTCTGCTGGCCACGTGTTTTGCTGAGCTATAACGGTCCACTCCGCCGTCACCCCGCTCAGCCAGCACAGCTCACCTTCATGATGACCAGCTCCTTGTCCTGAATGTCCTCGGACGTGCAGGCGCCGTCGGTGACATACGCGAAGTCGGCCACCTTCGGCGGGTAGATCTCCTCCAGCTTGGAGGCGATCATCAGGCACGTGATGCCTGCCGGGTGGGGGAGGCGGCGGCGTCAGCTCACGCGTGACGCGGGACACGAGGCCATCCCGGATGTGGGCAGCGGGAGGGGGCGCACAAGGGCGGGAGCGAGAGAAAGCCACTGGCCTTAGCAAGGACGCCGCAGAGACGGAGCACCAGCCAGCGAGGAGGCGCCTCAGGCAGGCAGGGCGCCGCGGGGCGACAGAGGGCACCAGAGGTGGCGAGTTGAGCCATTGAGCGGGCGTCAAACGCGGGTCGTTCTCCACGGGGCGACAGAGGGCGCCAGAGACCTTGAGCCCCTACAGAAAGAGGCCGCCACAGGCCAAGCTGCCACGGGAAGATGGTGAGACGCCCGTGAACGAAGCCGGAGAGGGCATGCGGAGTGAAACCGTTTGAAGAGGGGCACATCGGCAAACACAGCCATCTTGTTCATCTCACCAGCGTAAGCCCACGTTCCAAACCAAGCCCCAATAATTAACACGCGCTCGGGTGAGGGAGGGGTCAAATTGACCCTCCCCCCCCCCCTCTCCCCGGTTTTCCCGGGTTGATTTCCGAACGGCGAGGCGCAGCCGCGCCAACTTGTGCATAGCTGTAGACAATTGAATATCGGATCGTCTGACATCAAAAATTTAGATGTAACTTGTAAGGCCGCTGACCTATGGCGGGTCAAAGTCAGGCCATGGTTTCAGCGAAGGTACGTTCCAGGGAATCGTTCAATCCGATCAAACAATGGAGTTTTGGACGAAGCCGGACATCTCTGAGATACTTTCTTAGGTAACACAGCAATTGAATAAACACATAGAATTGACCTAGGGTCAGGCATAAAGGTCAGACCAGGGTAAAAACCAGCCTGTTGTATTTCTCTCGGGCTTGCTGTACGGGCTGGTTTCTGGTGCTCATTTCGAATAGATTTATAGCAGGAACCACATTATACACATTCCATGGACTTCTTATAGGTCGGAACAGGTCACTGACCCAAAATGACCCACGTGAGCATTTTGTTTTTAAGAATATAGCAGCGTAATCTACGTCACTTATCCAAATGCAAAACTCAAAACAGGCTTATATCATTTTGGTCATCATGACCTCTAATAGGCCAAACAAGGTCACTGATCATAACCGAGCGTCCGAAACTTTGCTCAAAACAGTTGCTCAGGTTCTAGGGTCCCTTTGGAAACCAATCTGGACCTCGACCTTGTTTGACCTTGTCTGACATGAAGGTCATGACCTAGGAACTTAAAACTCTGACCTAAGTGAGTTCACGTATACGTCAACACACCCTGTGAATTTGGTGTCTTTAGCTCTCTTGGTTCCCGAGATCTCAGGGGGGTCAAACTGGCCCCCTCCACCCGAGCGAAGGGTACCCAACTGGCCACCTGGGCGTGTGTTAAAAGGGCAGAGACCTTGACTGAGCGTGTACATTTTTCTTAGAACAGCTGCTCAGGTTCTAGGGGCCCTTTGAAGACCATTCTGGAATGTGATCTTGTTTGACCTTATTTGACCCAAAGGTCATGACTAGGAACATCAAACTTTGACCTAAGAGAGTTCACGTACAGGCCAACACACTCTGTGAGTTTGGTGTCTCTAGCTTTTTTGGTTCTCGAGATCTCAGGGGGGGGGGGTCAAATTGGCCTCCCCCACCCGAGCGAAGGGTATCCAACCGGGCACCCGGGCGCGTGCTAAGGCAGGCATCACTGCACTGCGGCCGCGTCGCTACCGTACTTCGTAGCGTATGCCCGCCAACATGCTCTGTCATGATGCAATAGCCTCAGGCAAGCTTAACGCCGCGCATATAAGGATAACACAAAGCCGTGTTGCACCACTGAAGATAAAATAGGGAAATATTCGAGATAATTGTTACAGCAAAGCAATTATTAGCACTTGGTAACTGCAACGTTGCAAAAAATGCACAGAAAATTGTTTTTACTTCAATTTGGTTCAAACAAATCAAAACACAACATCCCTGAATTGCCACAGGGCACAGTTGAGTTTAAGTGTACAAAAAATAATACTAAAGGTAGAAAGAAGCAACTGGTTAGCAACTCTGAGTGCACAGTACACACAAACGCCACGCCACTGTATCTCCGCCATCGGACAATCTCGCGAGCCACCGGTGCCGGCGCGTGCGCGCAGCGGTGGCGGGTCTGCCTCACCCCCGAGCTGGAGCTGCGACTTGGGCAGGTCACGTGTGCGGCTGAGGTAGCGGTCCAGGAAGTCGACAGCCAGGTGGAACGTCTCGCGGTGTAGCCGGTGCACCTCGCACACCTGGCGCGCCGACAGACGGGGGCGGCGTCAGACCTCGGCGCGGTACCGGCCGGCCGGCCGTGCGGCGCCACGACCAGCCGCAGGTTAAGCGGCGTTCGACAAACGCATGCCGCTGGCTTTTCTTAGCCGGCAAAAAGTGCTCCGCATCGTTCTGCACCATTTGTTTGCGTTTCTCTTGACGCGTCCTGCTACGCGAATAGATTTGAGAGCTTCTGGGAGAGTTGGTATGCCAGCTGTGGCTTACGATTGGCCAAATATCTCCAACGAGATTTGTACTTTTTGCTCACTAAAACATACAAATCTGGCCAAACACTAGCAGCGTGCATTTGCTGGTGGCGCGCACGTGTGGCGGCGCCACCCACCTCGATGAGCCAGTCGATGAGAATGGCGCGCATGTGCGGCTTGAGCGCCGGGTGGTGCGTCATGAGCGCCGCGTCGCGCCGGTAACTGTAATCCTTGGCGCGCATGCTGGTCCACAGGTCCTCGACCTCAGTCCAGCGCAGCTCGGGCAGTGGCGGCACGCGCTGCCGCACCTGTGGCGGCATCACCTGCTGCTCGCGAAACCTGCCGGCGCGCGCCGCAGCCGTCAGCTGGCGCACGAGCCGCCAACGGGCGGGGGGTTGGTGGCCACAGGGACGACGAGGCTCGGGGGGTTGGTGGCCACAGGGACGACGGAGGAACCGGCATCGCGTACCGGTACCCCGGGAGAACACCTAAACAATCGTGAACAAAGTCGTGGTCACAGTTGCGAACTACCTAGCACAAAAGACATTAGTTGCTTTCACTGCAAGAAAAAACCGTAACAACATCCAAACAGTCCGCAACGGTGTTCAAGAGAGCAAACTGTCCCCGGAAAACCACAACTTCTTTCATGCTTTTCTTCACAACAACCCCTGCAGTGTGTTCCAAAATAAGGTGCAAAACATAGCCTAGCGACATGCCCATCGAGCTTACACCAAGCAGCATGCCCCCCCCCCCCCCCCCCCCCCATCGAGGGCCAGCATACATCCCGTATCGGTACGACCACCGCCGGCACTCACTTGGACCATGTGGCGGGAGGCGGGGTACAGGCGCGCTGGCGCTTCCACTGGCTGTCGAAGCCGGCCAGGAATGCCTGGCTGGTGTCCGAGTGCATGTCCTCCGAGCCGGACGCGCTGCAGGCGGTGCTGGAGGCCGTGCTGGTTTGGCTGCCGGCCGGCGAGACCCACTCGGCCTCGCCCAACTGCCGGCCACGGCACGGCGTCAGTAGCAGCCGGGACCACGGCCCTCGCCCAACTGCTGACCACGGCACAGCGGCAGTACGCAGCCGGGACCATGGCCCCCGCCTAACTGCTGACCACGGCACGGCATCAGTAGCAGCCGGGACCACGGCCCCCGCCCAACTGCTGACCACGGCACGGCGTCAGTACGCAGCCGGGATCACGGCCCCCGCCCAACTGCTGACCACGGCACGGCGTCAGTAGCAGCCGGGACCACGGCCCCCGCCCAACTGCCGGCCACGGCACAGCGTCAGAACGCACCTCGCCTAATTGCTGACCACAGCACGGCGTCAGTACGCAGCCGGGACCACGACCCCCGCCTAACTGCTGACCACGGCACGGCGTCAGTACGCAGCCGGGACCACGGCGACGGAACTGAGGCGGGGGGGGGGGGGGGGAGGGAAGAAACTCCGGAGACCGGACTAGAGCGGGGGACCGGGTGGCAGGGCACAGGTGGGACCCCGGTGGCGTGATCCGGGCACAGGGGCCCGGGCACGGAGCGCTGGGACCAGCGCTAGGCTTCTGCGGTAGTGACTGGCACGCCACCCTGGGTCGTGCGCGCACCGGGGCCAGTGCGGCGCTCCTTAGGCAAGGTTCGTAAGAGCACCGCGCGCCGCATGTGTGCCGCATCTGAGAGCCGCATCTGTGCTGGGTCAGTCCAGACCCGTCGTGCCAGAGTCCACGGCGACGCAGCCAGCGACCCAGTGAAGAGGTCGCTGGCTCTCGGACCGAGTGCCGCCATCGGGGTGGGGTGAGACAGGGATGCCCGGGGGGCGAGCAAATGGGCCCAGACGCATCGGACATTAACGCAAGGTGTGGACCCCCAGTGCCGTCCATGGCGACCACGCGAGTTTCAAGAATGCACCACGGAGAAATTTCAACCTGGATCAGGTGATGCACAGGAATGCATAAGACGGCCAAATTGAAGAAACCACCGCAGGAAACAAAAGGTTGCGCTTCTACCTTGGTGTCATCGCATGGTGTTGACCATATGACAGATGGAGACCCCTTCGTTCCATTGTGTTGTCATAACAGTTACAGGGGGGGGGGGGGGGTTACGAGACGCTGCTCTGCTTCAGTTAATCATAAAAAGTATATGCATTAACATTTGTTTCGTAACACTTATGCATGGTTCACATAAAAAGGAGAACACTCCTGATATTTCAGACTACAAACTAGCAGAAGAAGCTGGGCGTTAATGCTAAATGCCTCGGACCAACAAACACGAAAATTTGATTGGCATCCACCGTAGATAGATGTCCATAAGTCTGTTATCAGCGACTGCAGTGACAGTCAATCAGTGACTGCAGCCGACACCAGCGACTGCAGCCGGCACCAGCGACTACCGCCGGCACCAGAGGCTGTAACTGACAATGATCGCAGCCGACACCAGCGACTGCAGCCGGGACCAGAGGCTGTAACCGAGTGACCGCAGCTGGCACCAGCGATCGCAGCCGGCACCAGAGACTGCCGCTGGCACCAGAGGCTGTAACCGACAGTGACTGCAGCCGGCACCAGGGCGGACTCACCTGCGCGCCGAGCTGCACCTCCATGGCCGGAGGCGGACTGTGTTCCGGACGGCGGCGCTTGGCGCGCGTCAGGATGGCCGGCGTGGCGCGACTGGGCCGACTGCTGCCTCTGCGGAGGAGACGGCGGCGCCGGTTAGCGCCGGCGCTAGGCCCACACCCGGCGGGCGGCATCCGCCCAGGCACGGGCCGAGCTCAGCAATGGTCCTAAGAGTGTGCGTGGGGGGGGGGGGGGGGACGAGACTTGTGATGTTTTCCGGCTGAGCGTTCCCAACCGTATGTAATTGTCGTTTTGAAGCAGTGTTCGAGTGATGTTGATACATGTTTCACGATAATAGGAGCAAATCGCAAGTGCAATCTTGCGTCTGCAAGCGCAAGTGCAATCTGCAGGTCCCACTTGCAGAACTCTGTTTTTTCAAGTTATACAAATGTATACATATTACACGAGTTCATTTGAGACTGGATCCGAACAGACCCGTCGCTCACGTTCTGAGACCCTGAGGTTCTGAGGAAGAAAGCTGACAGCACTCGTAAGATACCCGCGGGAGCTACACAGAAAAGGGCTACCGCCGTGTTCGGTAGAAAAAGGAGCGTATAAAGCTTGCGATAAACACAGCGAGAGCACCCACAGAGAATACATCACACCCACACAGAAAACACGCTTTTCAGACCGCATTCAAAAATGAACGAAAACTTATGACTTGTGGACGGACCGAGATCAACTGAGCGTTAACAAACACTTCATGCGAGGGCCCATGAACGGGAAAGTGCACTTACCGAGTGTCACAATAACGCAAAAGGGACCCGACAACAGCTGTGCGTTATATGCGCTAACGCCACTTGTGCGTGCTGACAACCCACGTGGCCATCAGGCGCCCAAAAGCTCGGCGCCACCGCGAGGCGCCGATAAGGAATCACATAAATCGTCCACTAAAATCAGAGCATTTTCAAGACCCACCCATGCATACAACATCCAAATCCGTTGACAGTAGTAACACTTTAGTTTGGCGTGTAGTAGAACATTGTGGGAAGCTTTGCACATAAAGCGCTGGTTCGTGGGCCTCCCCCCCCTCCCCCCCCCCCCCACCCCGTTTTCCAGATGTCCAGCAAACATGCCTATGTATCGTGGCATGCAGTAACCATTTGGGCTCGTCGAAGAATTTTCACGTTCTTTTAAAGAACAGGGCGAGCATCGTCAAAGAAAACGTAGCTTTTAAGCTAAAACAGATACAGGACAACCCAAATGGTGTTACATATGATGTTCTCACTTGTTTCCCTGACAGTATGGCAGCGCTTTGCCTAACGAAAGCAATGTTATAATCATGGTACCACTTTGAAGTACTAGTTTCTCTTTAACTGTCCATGCTCAAGCCTTCACTCCGCAGAACTATCGCAAAGTTAAGAGCATGCGGCTGAAAAAGAGCAAGACAACATATAAATCACGAAATACCACAATTTTCCTGGGAGGCATTCAAGCGGGGGTCATTGCTGCCATCACGACAGGTACATCGAGCAGACCCCGATGGTCCAGGAGTGTAGTTTTACAAAACAAGTTGGTGAGCCTGAGCCACAGAAAAACGACGAAACCTACCCGAAATACGCCGGCAAACTAGTTCCTCCTCAGTTTTTGTTTTGTCCACTTGCTCCTCAATGTTGGAGGAAGGTTGGGGGGGGGGGGCTAAAGCCAAAGTTGGGAGGACCCTCCCTCCCCCCCCCCCGCATCCGAATACGAAACTAAGCCCTTGCAGGCATCGCCACAGTCATGGCCGAGCCTGTCCTGACCGTTAACACCGGGCGGGCCAGAGCCACGGCACTAGCGACGACAACGCACCAATTCGTCGTCACCGTTGCGACGACCGGAAACAGCGCCGACAGCCGGAAATCGGCACTCAGTCCTCACCGGAGCAAACGCGCTGCCGTCGAAACCCCCGGCGGCGAGCAAACCGTGCAGAACAACGGTACCGGCCGACGTAATGGCAGACTACGCTTGAATGAAAGCGGGCCCGGGCGGCGCGTAAGGCGCGATCAGCTGATCACTCAGCTGACTGATCAGCTGTTTGGGCGCCGCGACGCCACGGTCGCTTCATGCGTGGCGGTGCCCCTCCCCCTCCGTCTCCGTAAGGAGCCGCCCCGGGCGCCAGGATACCAGACATGGGTGGGGTGCGCGCTAGCGCACCTGCCCCGGGCGAAAGCGCGCGCGCGCAGAATTGGCGGGAAGACCAATTACGGCACTTCTGGCCAGAAATAGAATGGTCCACCGCCACGACAGAGGGATAAAATTGGGCGCCAATTCTACTTCTGCGCGCGCGCAGAAATGGCGGGAAGACCAATTACGGCACTTTCGGTCAGAAATAAGTTGGGCCACCGCGACAGCAGGGGAATAAAACAGGGTTAACACGAGCTAGTATTTACTCATCGCAATATATTACATCGCTTCGAAAAAAGGATTGATTATTCGCATGCAACATGCTCGCAGTCGTCATAATTTAACATCCCGGTAGAGATGCAGAACTCTGAAAATCTCAAACCATCCCCGCACAAGCACATGCTCAGATGCCTACACATCGGACCTTAACCTCACCCACGGTGGCGAACATGCCGTGATACCAATGAAGCAGCTATATTTCTTCAGCAAGTCATAGGCATTGTAAAACAGAAGCGGGCCACTGCTCTCCCACTTCCCAAGAAAGTTAAACGTCATCCCTGCGGTGACGCACGGGAAGGACCGGCTTCGATAGTCACTCAGCCCTCCAACCTGGGAGGTTCCTAAGCCAGCACAGCCTCTCTACTCCCCGCACTGATTCGATGCCCGCCACTTTCTGCACAGCCTACCGCGCAATTCCCCATGTTTTCCATTGGTCGCAGAAAAACCTAGCCTAGAGAGCTGCGGCTGGTGACGATGATGACGATGATGACGATGATGATGATGACGATGATCACTTATGTCTTAGGACGCGCCCACTACCCTAGCCATGTGGTGCCCATGACAGCAGCGGTTGCGAATGCATACGTGTGCTATGTGTGCTAGCCCAGGTCCGTTTTGGACAGGTCCGTTTAGGCTGGACCATACGGGGAGAAATCCTTCGGGTGTTTGGAAAGTCCAACCAGGATTCGTTTAGCCTATGGTTTGCTATTAAATCAGTGGACGTGGCTAGTGGCGTCTGGCATATCCCAACGTCCCCACTTCATACTTGCTGCATCACACTATAATCGCGTGGTAGCATGCTCCTTCAAATTTGCTAGTAGCGTTTCTCCGTAGCAGCATCAACTCCGTCCGTCAGCCCTCTCCTCCGCCTCAAATTTTACATGTTAGCTGCCCGGCAAAACAAATACATTTTTCGTGGGAGCGTCGGTTTTCCCACATACCATACACTGCGGCGCAACTTGCGGCGGGTACGAAGTGACCTAACGTAAGCGTGCTCCAGTAATAACCACAGTGTCACGACTGCCAGATTATTGCGTAACTGTGAACAGTATTCCGTAATTGTAATGGTGAGCCTGCCTGAAAACAAACTGAAATGGTCAAGCGTCGACCAGCCTGCGATTCACGAGAACTTGGCTTGGGTGCATCGCTTTCTAAGCAACGAGCAAGCGCCCACCAGCCAACAGAACCTGCCTGACCGCATAATGCGCCAGCCAGAGCAACCCTAACCTCAGCAGCTAGTCTGCTGCACATGTCCCGAGTCGGCACAAACCCCACACGGCGACCCATGTGCCCGCACTGTGGCGGAGTTTCACGGGCAGATACCCGAGTGGTTGAGCAGGGCTTTTGCTGTACGCAACTGCACATTCTTAACGTACGCCCCTGTGTATAGCAACTCTTGCCACGAACAACCGTGACGTTGCAGGTGGCATACGCTACAGATGATGAAGCTGTCTTCGCTGGCTTTCAGATCTGCTTAATGTGAATGAATTTCACTGTCGATGCGGTAGCCAGGAACGGTGAAAGCCCGCTGCCGGTAATGGATGGACGAGACCCACGAGGGTCGTGCTGCGGACTCCTCGCGCCCAATCCCAAACACCAATGCAAGACAAAAGGCGGCCAGCATTCGGCAACACGCCCAGGGCGTGTGGACACGGCAGCTTGGGTCAGGCAGAAGCTGGTGCAGCGGACGACCCGGACTGGAACACAGCTGGCCGGGAGAGGAGCGGTGGCGACTCACCCCTGCAGCAGCGTCCCAGCGACAGCGCGGCGAACCGCGACAGCAGGGAAGCAGGACGTTTTCCTTCTGACTGGCGGCGTGATAAGCCACGGTTTTTTATCTCTCGAAAAGATAAGGATTCCCCGTATTGTCGGCTGCGGACACATTGCGACTGCGGCGCGCCTTCCACTGAGGAGATAAGCTACCAACCCGGCGGACCGGCTCCAAGATAAGGGAAGGAGGATCTGGAAAAGTGGAATTTCCATCTGGTCACCAGGCAGTCCTAAATGTGCTGCCCATTTCGACCCCTGATCACGGAAAACATTTCCGGCGTCTGAATCGCCGAGATAGGGCGGATTCTGTCGGACAGTTCCAAAAACATAACGCGAACAAACTGCCAAATATCACGCGAACCACTGGGGGACACTGCTAACTACCGTCAGACAGGCAACCATTTAATCTGAGCGAGGACAGCGCGATCAAACAGTCCTTTTCCAAAAAAGAATCAGGCAGGAAAAATTCGGAGACTCGTTCCATGCGACGATATATGCCGAAAGTCTCCCTCCCCCTCCCCCCCCCCCCCCCCCCCCATCCCAGACAATTTGCCCGGTACTCGTGCGCACCGGCGCGCTCTCTCGTTCCCTCGACGCCCGCACTTCACACGCGTCTCCAGCCGGCCGTGCAGCAGCAGCGACGCGCTGGGTCGGCACGCCACCGACCGGCGCAGCGTTGTGGATAGCGGCCCCAGCCGGCCGGCCCAGCCGACGCCCGGCCGCCGATGTCGGTGCCGGTGCAGGCGTCGGCACCTGTCCAGCCAGGTGTCGACCCACCGCGGGCCCCGACGCACGCACCTGGACCGGGCGGGAAGCGGGGCGGTGCGGCCCGGCCCGGCCCGGCTCGCCGCCGTGCAACGTCCCAGGCCGCAGCTGCGTCCGTGCGAGCAGCCAGCGGGGCGCCACTCGAGAAAAAAATGAGAGCGGCATCTGGGAGTTCGGCTGACAAAACAGGCGAAATCTTTCCTAACCAAGGTGGCCAACGGCAATGTGATCTTTGCATACAGCATCCCGAGCCGATAAAACAGCCGACGGCAATGTGCACTTCCCGCGGCTATGCCGGCAGTTACGTGCTGGGAGCTGGAAGCTGCCGCCTGTGTCATACCTAGCGTAGCAATCAACAAAAGCGCTGGGTACTGGTGTCACGGAAGCTTGGCGTTTACCAATTGGTATTTACCAATTAATTAACCACACTTGGTGCGATTTACGACGATTAACAATGTACTGGTATCGTTACCGCTTTGCAATCATTTGAAACGAGAAATGTTCAGGCGTTGATATCCGAAGGCTTTTCCAAAATGGTTTCCGAACGGCGCGGCGTAGCCATGCTAGATTTTGCTTTGCTGTAAACAATTAAGTAGCGGATCGTTTAGCATCAAAAACCTAGATGTACCTTGTAAAGTCGCTGACCTATGGCAGGTCAATCAGGCCATGGATTCAGCGAAGTCAGTTTCTAGGGAATCGCTCATTCTGATGCAACAACGGAGTGTTAGACAAAGCCACACATCTCTGAGATACTTTCTTGGGAGACTCAAATATTGAATGAGCAAATTACGCTGACCTAAGGTCAGGCATGAAGGTCAGACCAACCTGTACGTCAGACCAATGTCAAAACCAACCTGTTCTACTGCTCTAAGGCTTACTGTGTGGGATAGTTGCTGGTGCTCATTTCAAATTCATTAATAGCAGAAAACGCATTTTACATCTTCCATGGACTTCTCAGAGGTTAGAATAGGTCATTGACATAAAACGACCCAGCCCAACATTTTGTTTTTAGAAACATACTGTCTAGCGTTATCTTTGTCGCTTATTTAAGTGCAAAACTCAAAGCAGTCTTGTATGATTTTGGTCACCATGACCTTCAAAAGGTCAACCAAGGTCACTTACCCTAAATGAGCAAGCGAATTTTTGCTTAAAAACAGTTATCTAGGCTCTGAGGGTACTTTGGAGACCAACCTGGAATTTGACATTGTTTGACCTTATTTGACCCAAAGGTCATGATCTAGGAACCTCAAAATTTGACCCGCGTGAGTTCACGTACAGGTCAACACACCCTGTGAATTTGGTGTCTCTAGCTCTTTTAGTTCCCGAGATCTCAGTTGGGGGGTCAAATTGGTCCTCCCCCCCCCCACACCCGAGCGAAGGGTGCCAGCCGGCCACCCGGGCGCGTGTTACATGCGTCGTCGATCTCGGGATCTCTTTTTTGCAGATGTACGCAGAGCAACCCGGTGACATGTAAAGACTAAGCGGGTCGGAAATTGTCAACCATTTTACCGTATGATCGCACTACGACGTATGGAAATTCTGGGTACTGCATACTCTACGGAACATATTGCCACGACCGCTGTGAGGTGCTATGGTGCACGCGTCAGTATTTCATAAAGCAGTTGTTAATGGCGATATGACACCCGCATATAGACCGCGATGCTCTTAAAGCAGCCGTCATTCCCATGTTGATGATATCCCTAAATATGAGCACGAGGCGTTGTTTCAAAGTCCACGCGAACAGCATCTGGACGTGTTGATACCGCCTCGAACAACTTTTTTCACAAATGCGCTCATTTACCGGTCCTCACTATCCTGCAGACACTTACCCCCCTTACACTTACCCCGCTGGGATGACACAGAAGGGGCATGTTAGTTCTGATAGATCCACTGCATGCACAATGCACATGCCACTGATACGCATCCGTCATAAGCACTGACCTGACCGCAATTGATGCAAGGCCCCTCCATGCAGGGATGTTAAATAGGTCAGTTCTGATGCCAGCAGTTGGCCGACACCCGGCATGCGATACTGACCAGAGGAAATAGAAATGCATGCGCTGACCTGAGAACCCATTGAAACAAAGCCTTCTGGGTGGTACCAATCAAGCACCAATTGAAACCATAGGTGGTGTGCGCAGCCCACCGAGTCTCAATGGTTACCAGCCACCGACTGCGTTCTCACGCTGTACTGACCTGGCCCCAGACATGATCTGTCCGACGGCAGCGTAAGCCGAAGACGACGCACGCTCATTCGACCATCCCTCTGTAACAGGTGGTGTGCTAGGTGTGAGAATGAGTCATCACACCTGAACTGCCCCCAGCTGAGGCTATGCACTATTGCTTCTAAAGCCTTGCACCGAGCTACGCACCTTCTCCCCTCTAGTCAAAGGGGTTCAGGCCCTGAGGAGCCAGCTGTGAGTCTACATAACAGGCTGATGTGTGTAATCTAAGCATATTTAATGTAAAAAGCATGCCAGATCTAAACATGCAATTAGTATGAAAACCATTCTGGTGGTACAGATCACTTTTGCCAGGGGCCTTCCAATGGCAGACCTAAATATATGAACATCGCTTTTAATATTCATGGAATATAGTCACACTGCACCAGCCCCAATTCAGACTAGCTGATAGCTGTCATGTATATCAGTGGCATGTGCTGCACTGGCATGTATTGACATGTACATGACTGATATGTAATGCCAGACAGCCATTACATCGCAGTTAGCTCCATGGCCACCTGCAGGTGCACACATGATGTACCATGCTTGCCCTGGTCCAGCATAAAAAATTGCTCAAATCAAAGGCAGAAGCCCAAAGCTCAGATGCATACATCAGTTTTCGATGAGACATGAAAGCATAAGTTAACCCAGCTAGCACTGCACTTGCCAACCAGATAGTGCAATTACTAGATAATTGAAGTTTGTGAATAAGGAGATCAAGCTCTAGATGAAAAAGCAAGGGGCTAAAAGCTGGTTGATATCAAATTTTTAATGTACACCAGGGCGATGAAAATTGTTTGCATTTCTCAGGTATTAAGAGGAATTTGTACAGTGATGGTGAGACTTATAGAAAAAAGAAGCATGATTGGTTAGCATTAAACTAATAGTAAATATGGAGACAAATGTATTGCTGTTGAGTGTGTATCAAGTGTCTTAAAATTGGTCTCATTACACAGGTCATACAAATTAAATGATTTTGTTAACATACTCTTGTTTTATATGCCAGTTTTGTCTGTTGTCAGATCATTTTTTTTTTCAAAACTGCATGTTTTATCACTTGTGATGACAGCTTTTCTTACACTTTCAAAGTAAAATAACAGACCTATTTCAACAGCAACATATAAGAGTGAGATACATGTTAATCTGGAGAATAATGTTCCAACAAACATCAGCACAATTTATGCATAGCATACCTCCAAGAAAAATTATCCAAGCTCATAGCATGACACCCTCATGTAACTGGACCATTACCATTCACTAGATTATGCATTTGGTTTGCAAATCCCTGCTGTGTCCCACCTTGCCAAATCATGCCACTGACAAGCAAAAAGTAGCAGTGCCAGCAGGTGCTTTTAAAAATTTGAAGTGGTGCAATGTGTAAAATCCTGGTTTCCTGATCAGGTTTGTCAACTTAAAGCTGTCACTGACAAACTGTTGTTACAGCTGCATTCAACAGCTGCTGAACCAAACCCAAAGAGCTTCAACTACAAGTTCAAACTCAACACATGAACCTTCACATTTTTTGGTACAATGCTCCCCTAGCAGATAACATGACCTCTTTTTTATCACCCCTGGCAATGAAGGTCACAATTTTATCTTACAAAAGCTACAGAAAAGATCAGCTGTCTCAACCCATGACCACGTTTCCCTGGCTAATGACTTATTTCCATTTTATTCATGGCAATGTTGCTGGAAGCAAAGAAGCATTAAGCCCTAAGAAGCAGTGCCCACATGCACACAACCCATCATTTACCATTTTAACCTATCATTAACATCAAATAAACCAGTGCAGCATTTGAGAGCATATTGATGCATACAAATGCAGAGGGAAGATGAGGACACAGCACATGTGACAGGCCAGAAATCCATGACATTTTGATCTCACAATGGCAATATCAATAGCTATCAAACCAGGTTTTGGCACCAGACTACAAACCCACGCAAGAAGGCACCCAATACCATTTCTTAATGTCAATGCCCCCTGATTTACAACACAAAAATGAACATGAAGTGTACAAAACGATATCCACCCTATGTATTCACTATACTAAGTTCCCCTCATCTGACCATTGCTTACAAACTTAAGCCATATCAATGCCCCGCACAAATACTGAGATATCTACAAACTGCAACTACTGCAGGGGTCTTCAAGCGATACTTCTCAGCAGGCACCTCAAATAAATGCACATCTAAGCTTACATGTAGCGCACCAGCATACCAACCAGCCTTCGACGCCCAGACGCTTTCGGCGCGCGGTTAAGAGCTCTTCTCCGGCCCTGAGTACTTAGTTGGGCCAAAACGTTTGAAAGGTTGGCATGCGATCTAAGCCGAAATATTCTACGAAAGAAAAACGCGGAAAGCCGCGCCCTTACCTTACAATATCCCCCTCCAAAGTACTTGCGCACCGCGGACCTCGACTGCTGCCGGCGCGCGCGATTTCCCGCTCCCCCAGCTGAAGTTTACGTGGATCTTGGATAAGTGTAATGTTCGCGACGTGCCAACATTTATTTCGGTTTGCTATTCTTTTGCATTTATTACAGATAAGATCCTATCTTCTGCTAAAATTATTTATTGGTTTCTTCCATTTAAGCCGTATTTGATGACTGAGCTTGTCCAGGGAATGGGAATAAACTTCCGCGAAATAAAAGAACAAACCAAGTAGATGACATGTGCCGGTCTAACAGCTGATCCGCAATTTGGCGCGATATTCGAGCGCGTCTATCCGGTGTGCAAGGGAAAATTGACCCCCGCCGAGCGGCGTCCACCCGCTCAAAACTAGCAATCGAGAGATGGCTATAAAAGCAGCATGAAATGTGAGCTGTGGTCATGTGATTTTAGCAAGTGTATTTGTACAGTGTGCCAACGCCTTCAATTTGTCAAAGCACTAAATGTCGAGTTCTGTCGACTAACCGTCGAGCGTTGGTCACGGGCATTCCCCCCTCGAGATGGAAATTTACGAACGCCGACCAGTGCACCCAACTGCACATAATTAAATGCGTACATCGCTTGAGACATGATGATGCAGGTGCGCAGCTAAACGAAGGAGCGGAAGATTTTTACTCCCCCCCCCCCCCCCCCACGCTCTACAGTCCTGCATTTCGTTGAAGTTCCGCCTTGGATGCCTATTGGCAGAAAGTCAAAAATCGGCGCATTGCGCTCTCCCCAAGCTCCGTCCCTGTCTAAGGAATACTGGCTGCGCACCTGGAACAATGAATAACAAATCGAGCACAGTGCACATTTTCGCAAGCCACCGCGAAGGTCTTCCGACAAAATGAGCCACGAGGCAGCAGCACTAGCCGGCTCATGTGTACGGAGGGCCGATGTCCGGATGTCACATCAGCCGTACCTAGTCGATGGTGCCAGATAAATCCCAGTGGTGAGGACTGGATTCCCAGCGGAACAAACTACACAGGCAACAGCAGCGTAAAACCCAGCCTCTGCCAGGACTCCGGAGTACCTAAAGCTGGTTCACCTTTGAGTGCCTGCATCGTTTCGCTACCATATGTTTGAAGAACGTTTTCCACCGTTCATCGCATTAACTACGTGGCGGTCCGCGACTTGTGAGTGCAGAATGCTGAGCAAGGCTGGCATGACAAAGCTGTCTGAGCGGCTTTGGTTCAAAACTCAAGACATATTCATGTGATCGTTTTTGGGAGGGCTGTTATTTTACAGAGAAATTTGGAGGACCACGACATTGCATCAACCACTGATGAAATATAAGTTCCACTGAATTTAACCCGTGAGCATAAAAAGGCTGCGATGAACCCAACAAGGACAATGGGAAAACATAGGTCAATTTTTAGCATAACACGCTGGGACCATAAATGAACCGCACTGTTGCGCCAGTTTCTTTTTCACGGCATGTGGCATGCTGAGGCGGAAGCGTCCCGCCCCGCTGGCTGCGCGGCGACGTCTTTTGTGCGTCTCCCGCGGTTGCTGCCGGAGGCCGTGCCGGCGCCGCCGTCTGGCCACAGCGTGTCGCATTCTTCTGAAGGTTCGGCGCGGCGGCGCGACGACCCGGCGGCCGGTCGGCGCGCGTCGCGGCCTTGGCGGCAGCGCGGCGGCGCCGGGGCGCGCGCGCGCGCGCCAGCCCGCCAGTCGGCCACCTGGGACAACGACCGCAGGCCGGCGCGTGACGTCACGGACGCGCGGTCGGCCACCGCCGCCAGGTGTCGGACGGGGCACCGCCCCCCCCCCCCCCCCTCCCGCTCCTCCCGCCGAGCCCTGGGGCGGATGGCGGCGGCGTCCCCTCCACGAGCGGCGTCCGAGGCAGGACGCCCTGCCTGCTGCACTGATTTCCGCCAGGGGCCGGCGTCCGGCTATTTCGGGTGACGTGCGGGTTGTGGCGGGGGATGTTTGTGCGAGCCCATTCGGAGTGGAAGGGAATGTTTCTTCGCCGCAGGCGCCACTCTGAGTCAGCTTCGACCCTTGATTCGTCGACATCCTGGAACATAGGCCTTCTTAGAAGCATTGCTAACCACAGCACGGCTCTCCAGCTGAGCACAGCAAGCAGTATTTCGCGCTCATGCAACCAACCCAGCACAGTTCAGCATCCAGACATGCGCGCAGATTTGCAGGAAATTCGCCGTCCACGTGACCGGGAAATGCGAACTGCTGTATGTCCTGCTGTGTTCCGCCTACGAAAAACCAGCAGCATATATTGTATATGCGTACATTCCAAAATTGTGCAGATTTGAGGCCAGGGGAAGATGCTTGATGTCACGACTCCCCTCCCCCCCCCCCCCCCCCCCCTCCTTTTCCTCTTCAGGTGGCGGTGCCCTTTGCACGCATGTAGAGCGTTTAGGAGGTCTAAGACGGACCCTGAGACACAAAGTAGGATTCCGGGCTTTAGAAGCTATTGTCATTTCAACAAACAGAGCCCCTAAGCGGCGAAGTGGGCCTCTCCTGTAGAAAATTTTGGCTTCGCCACTGGTATGCTGTGTGGAGGTAGCTTTCTGGGTTTGCTTTGCGATCTAACAGTGGCGTTTTAATGAAATATACGTTGTACCTTTCAGAAGGTGTAATATGTGCTAGCTTTCAACATGGCCGTGTTGCACTCGTCAAGATCCTCCTGCATTTACCTCCACACTCAATAAGCACATGCATGCACTGCATACCAAAATCACTTAGAGTTTAGTAACAGCACCTACTTGCAACTTGCAGCACCTACTCAAACTTGAATGCATCCCTCCTTCGCTGAGTCTTCAGCACAATTCTCCATTAAAACACCACCTTGAACTCCCAAAAGCGTTTCGGCTTTTCCACGAGGAATCTTTTCTATTATTTGAGCCCCATAGATTTATCGACCTCCTGACCTCGAAGCCAATTTTTTCGCTGCCCACACCAATGGAGATGACGAATGTCGAACCGAATAGGTGCAGACAGAACGGAAGCGCGTCTTCACGGCGAACAGGAAATAAACGGCTTTACTACCGAACTGCTGGAAGCCGGAAGAAATGAAAGAGGCAGTTACGACGCAGCTCAAACTTGGGAAATATCGCAAGGAAGTGCTGTTACACGCCAACAAACCAGCACAGAATCTGGGGCAATTTGTCACTACGCCCGGGCATCAGTGGAATTGAGAGCCCTGCAGGGATTCGTCCATGGCGTCTTCGTGTCGCAATGCTCGATGGCGCCAAAAGACGTCATTGATGACGTAAGTGTTGTCCACCGTTCGCCCCGCGAGTGCCAGTTGCCTGTTGTGTTCGACCGGCAACAAATTCACTGGCAGTCACTGGCAATGACGGTCATCACTGATAGGCATTCCACCACTAACAGTCACTGACAGGCGCGTAGCCAGAGCCTTGGCAAGAAGGGTGGTGGTACAGGGTTGACAAAGAGCCCTGATATGGAAAAGCCCCCCCCCCCCCCCCAGAAAAAATGTCGGATGTGGCTCAATTGCTACCGAGGGCATGCTTTTCATTGGTATTTTTCCTGTGTCCAATTATTACTGGAGTAGGAGCCAGAAGTTTCTGCGATATAAATTCTGACTGAATTCATAGCCAATAAAGTAAAGAAATAATTCGTTTAACGATTGCATGAAATAGATTGCAGGCAATTTAATGCAACAAACAACACTCAAAAATGGTCCAATTCACCGTTTCTGGACTCAAAAAACTCAGAAGCTTCGTCACAATTCGTTTCTGGATAGATCGAAATGGGTTAACAGTTGGTAGCAACATGGTTAAGGCATGTCTATTTGGAAATGTTCAACATTCAGGCAGAATTTTGACAAGTGTCACAAATTATGTACGTAGTTTGAGCACCCGCGCTCGCAAATCTTAATGGGTAACAAAAGCCTCGACGCCGGGCGTTACAGTCTCCTTAGGCTGTGCAGCGTCGGCTTCGTAGCTAACACTTAGCTGTGGCCAACAGGTGGACGAAAATGATTATGTATCTGAAAGAAGTACCTGTCAACCCTTAAGCACATCGAATCGCACATTTAGAAGCAAATCCGGACGTGTATTTCACCAGTACGATTCTGAGATTGATGTTTAGAACGAACTGGCATTTACAGCACCGCGGAGTGGTGATGGCTAGAATCTGGTGGTGGAACTGGAAAGGTAAAGGTAGAATATCTATTTGGCACATAGGCGTAGAAGCGTTTCAAAAAGTGGCGGGGGGGGGCCAAGCTCAGGGTGTACTTCAGGAACTTTTTTCTGGAAAGCGAGCCCGATGACCGGGGGGGGGGGGGGTAGGGGGGAGGGGTAGGGATGGAGATTGTTATCGCTCTTTATTCAAATGTCATGGACTGCTATGCTAGGTATGCGTCTAGAGCTGTTTATCACCGGTGCATAATATTGCCTATTCGGCTCTTTTGTCAGTTGCCAAATAAGTCTATCCAGCTTCCCTAGATTATTCGTTCATTTTAACATTGTTTTTCCTGGGTAGGCGAAATACCACGAGCGGGTAGGTAGTTTGGGCCATTAAGGAAGCATTTACCTCCACAGTGTAAATGCCAAAATACGGCATGGATATAAGCTGGTGAGAATTTTGGAAGTGGATCGATGGCTCACAGTGCGTCAGGTTTTTCATGCACCTTCATTTCGATGGCTGCTCTTCAAGAAATAAGACCTGCCGCAGCATTTTAGACGGAAACGAATTCGGGAGCTTGAAACTGCTAGAAACAACGTGACAAAATCCATAAAACTGGAGATTCTCTTTTAAAAATCAAGCCACATAATAAGGCCCATCTGTCATATGTTCCTTATCTGGGCCCTGCTCCTGTCCGCCGTCAGTGGTCACTGCCCTGACCTGGATGTCTCCCGCATGACTGACTGCGAGCTTATCGTGTTGCTACCTTGTTGCATACTTTTGAATCAGGGTTACTTCTACATGGTGTATGAAACATGTGTTGGACACCTGCAACAGTATTTTTCCCGAATTATCTTCCCTTATACCACACCACCGCAGAGAAAATAGCCTCCGGGAAGCTGTATGCCTTAGGTAT